TCCAAGCAGCAAAATTAATTAACTGATAACGTGCACAGATGCAAAATTAGAATGAATTAGATTCTTTAGATAACATGGAGTCTTTGATGTTCCTCTGCTCTGATACCGCTCTCCTTTTGCTGCCTGATTAAAAAGTAAAACTGGGTTTCAGGATCACACCGTCCTGAATTAATAATGACCTTGGACAGAACAAACCTTATTAAATAATACATTTTAAATTGGGATTAAACAGAGGTGAAAGAAAGTAATCATATCCTTTCATTAAGTACTAATTAAATACTTGAAAAACAAGAAAAAGTCCTGCATTTTGAGCGAAACTAACTATATTTTCATTTCAATTTATTAGTTTAATAATTATTTTGGCAGTTTTTTTAAATGAATATTATGTAAGAAACGCTATGCAAGCTATATATAATTTTAATATATTTTTATTATTATAATTTTATTTTGTATTTATTAATTTCTTTTGTCACAAAAAAACTGATGATGAATTTTTACTTAAAAAAACGTTTTTTGTATTTTAAGGAAAGTACATGGACAAACAAAGTCAATTAAATACAAATAAATATATATTTCAGCTTATAAATCTGGTTATGTCATTGGTTTAAAAGGTTATAAAAAGACAGCGTATATCTCAAATAAAAAGTAATAATAAAATCATTATTAAAAGACTTATTGATACGTCAGAGATAGAAAGCGTCTCACCTGAAGTTGGTCATGAAGTGTTTGAACTTGTCGGTGCGTTTGGACAGCGGCACGATGATGTTGATGGGGACGTTCGATGTGTCCACCTGCTCGTTGCTGACCTTCATCAGCGGGCCGAAGGGTCTGAAGAAGACGAGGCGTCTGAACTCCTGAGCGGCTTCTCCTCTGAAGGTCAGCTCGTACAGCGTGCCTTTGTCCTTCTCCGTACGAGTTATACCTGAACAAAGATATGAACTCATCAACAAACAGATTTAATAAATGGGGCGAAGCTTGTTCACTTAGATCAGGGGTATCAAACTCAATTTCATCGCGGGCCACATCAGATTTTCATTGACATATCTTTACATGAGACTTTAGGAGAGTTGACTGTAAACGGCGAGACATCCAAACTACAACAAGAAAAATATTTTTTGTTTTACTTAAGAAGTTCCCTTAATGTCCCGGAAGTATCTAAGTGGCATCAATGGAAAACAGCTGCTTGGTTTCTCTAGATCAGGGGTGTCAAACTACATTTCATCAGCATTTTGGTTGCACTCAAAGGGCCGGTTGTAACTTTCAGACTTTATAAATATACATATATAAAAATATATCATATATAAAAAATAATGTATTATATTACATTATTGCCTCTGCATTGGATTATTATGCGATAGGGTAATAACTTCATAATTAACTACGTCTGAAAGCAGAAGTCCAGGGCAAATAATTGCAAGTCTCTTCAGTGTGCATGTCACAAAATGAGATGCATTGTGGGACATGTAGTCTATTGGCAACGTGCTTCTGTAAAGCGGCGTGTAACCGTATAATGAAGATGAATGTGATGAAACTAAATCTTATAGCAATATTTCTATCCATTTTTCTATCTAAAATTCACCTGAAACTGATGTTATTTAGATTAATGAAATATTAAATATTATTATCTATTTGTCAAGTACTTATTTCACACAGGAAAAATAGACCTTACCATGTGGTTAATTCATATAAATGACCATAAAACATATTATATATGTCGTTATCAAGATCTTAAATGACCTTTAAAGAAGATTTATGACAAATCTGCCATTCCTAAATATGATGTATATTAAAGACGTCCTATATTCTACAAATGTCCAGGTTCATATTTGCATTTTAAGAATCTACTATGACATGTTTCCAGGCTTAGGAACACAGGGATCTTAGCCTTTGCAGACCATTTACATGCACTAAAACCTATAGAACACACTGGGGAAACCACACATTGCTATATAGGGTCTTTTTAACATTAACTTGCATCCAAATACATTCACTGAAAACACTGTGAATGCAACCCAGTGCAAAAACAACATGACTGTATTTGTGTTGTTTTTTTAGTTTTGCTGCCAGATTTTGTTGCAGTGATTTTGTTTTTCCCAGTGCCAAGGACCATTTATTTTCACTGTTGTTTTTCAAAAAAATATCATAAAAAACAGACATGGGAACATCACTCCGACTGATAGTGTTTTTACATGGGGTGGAAAAAGAGGGGATAAAAGGCGTCGGGGGACATTATCCATGCACTCTGCTGCTGCTGGGCAAAGAGCCATCACACACACACACACACACACACACACACACACACACACACACACACACACAACACAACACACCAACCTCAAATTGACTCACAACACAACCACACACAACACACACACACACACACCACACACACACACACACACACACACACACACACACCACAACACACACACACACACACCACACACACACCAACCACACACACACACACACACACACACACACACACACACACACACACACAGAAAGAGAGACACACACAGAAAGAGAGAGACACAGAAAGAGAGAGACACAGAAAGAGAGAGACACACACACACTGAAAGAAACACACACACAGAAAGAGAGAGAGAGACACACACAGAAAGAGAGAGAGACACACACAGAAAGAGAGGCACACACAGAAAGAGAGGCACACACAGAAAGAGAGACACACACACATTGAAAGAGAGACACACACACATTGAAAGAGACACACACACATTGAAAGAGAGAGACACACACACACCACACACACACACACCCACACACCACACACCACACACACACACACACAACACACACACACACCACACACACACACACCACACACACACACACACACACACACACACACACACACACACACACACACACACACACACACACACACACACACACACACACACACACACACAGAAAGAGAGACACACACAGAAAGAGAGAGACACAGAAAGAGAGAGACACAGAAAGAGAGAGACACACACACACTGAAAGAAACACACACACAGAAAGAGAGAGAGAGACACACACAGAAAGAGAGAGACACACACAGAAAGAGAGGCACACACAGAAAGAGAGGCACACACAGAAAGAGAGACACACACACATTGAAAGAGAGACACACACACATTGAAAGAGACACACACACACACACACACACACACACACACACACACACACACACACACACACAACACACACACCACACACACACACACACACACACACCACACCACACACACACACACACACACACACACACACACACACACACACACACACACACCCACACACACACACACACACACACACACACACACACACACACACACACACAACACACACACACACTCACTGACATAGAGGCTATTATGGTCATCCAGACCAATTTTCTTGTTCAGGCTTTACGTCAGCGTGTTCCTCCAGAGAGAAGTTGTTGTTCAATCACTCTGCTATTACGAGGATTATTACTCGGAAATGGGCTTTCTGAGGTCTGCGGGGACGGAGAGTGAAAGGGAAATTGGGTGCAGAAAGAGGGAAGTGAGACTAGACAACAAGAGAAACAGACAGGAAGAAAGATATGAGGATGTTAAATGTAAAAAAATAAGTTTATATTCAATTTAAAAAGGCGCTATTCTGCTTTTTGTGGTTTCTCCTTTTACTGTAATGTGTTATAGGTTTGTGTGCATGTAACATCACTAGGTAACACTCGCGCTCCTATTGGCTAGCGCTCCAACACACTGTACGTGATAGGCTAAGGGGCGGGACATCTCTAAGCTGGTTGACCAATCCCAACAGAGCCGGCCAGCTAACCAATCAGAGCAGACTGGGCTCTGGTTTCAGACAGAGGGTGAAAAGAGGTGCTGCAGCTGAACATTAAAGCATGGAGACATGTCCCAGTAGAGACACTACATACTGATATAGACCTGAACATCAGCAGGAGAGGACTCTTTAAAGTAGAGACACTACATACTGATATACACCTGAACATCAGCAGGAGAGAACTCTTTAAAGTAGAGACACTACATACTGATATAGACCTGAACATCAGCAGGAGAGGACTCTTTAAAGTAGAGACACTACATACTGATACACACCTGAACATCAGCAGGAGAGGACTCTTTAAAGTAGAGACACTACATACTGATATACACCTGAACATCAGCAGGAGAGGACTCTTTAAAGTAGAGACACTACATACTGATATACACCTGAACATCAGCAGGAGGAGAACTCTTTTAAAGTAGAGGACACTACATACTGATATACACCTGAACATCAGCAGGAGAGGACTCTTTAAAGTAGAGACACTACATACTGATATACACCTGAACATCAGCAGGAGAGGGACTCTTTAAAGTAGAGACACTACATACTGATATACACCTGAACATCAGCAGGAGAGGACTCTTAAAGTAGAGACACTACATACTTGATATACACCTGAACATCAGCAGGAGAGGACTCTTTAAAGTAGAGACACTACATACTGATATACACCTGAACATCAGCAGGAGAGGAACTCTTAAAGTAGAGACACTACATACTGATATACACCTGAACATCAGCAGGAGAGGACTCTTTAAAGTAGAGACACTACATACTGATATTACACCTGAACATCAGCAGGAGAGGACTCTTTAAAGTAGAGACACTACATACTGATATACACCTGAACATCAGCAGGAGAGGACTCTTTAAAGTAGAGACACTACATACTGATATACACCTGAACATCAGCAGGAGAGGACTCTTTAAAGTAGAGACACTACATACTGATATACACCTGAACATCAGCAGGAGAGGACTCTTTAAAGTAGAGACACTACATACTGATATACACCTGAACATCAGCAGGAGAGGACTCTTTAAAGTAGACACACGACATACTGAACATGAGAATAATATGGCCCCTTTAAGAGAGGGATGTCTTTGGGCGAGGACTTTAAAGTCTGATAGAGTAAATTATACCCTTCTTGTTGTGCTTTCTGTGATGGAACATGATAAGGGTGAATTCATCAAATAGCCGGAGTAATTTAGACTAAAAGCCTCCAATCCTGTCCCTGTTTTCGGTCTAAATGCACTTTTCTGCCTCGTTCTGAAAGGACTGCAGAGCTCCTGTGTTTGTGTGCAGTTTCAGCTCGCCGCTCTGAAGATGCTTTTGTCTGCCTGGCCTTGTAGAGTTTACACTGATGTCATTTATCTGCTGGAAAACACTCTGCTTGTTCAGGATTAGCTTAAATATAAATGTATAATAATAATAATGTAATATTGTTTTAAAAGCATTTAATTTGTTGTTTATGGCCAGTAAAGAAATTATATATTTTTCGTAAAATGGAAATAAAGAAAAGCTGCATTTTGTTGCTGTTATCTTGAGGAAGCTGTTCACACCCAGATATGAACACATGTTTGCTTGTAATAACAAACCGCATCACATGAGAACTCTCAGATAAAACAGGACCAAACACCAGCTCCATTTCCTACAAGCCAAGAGCCCCTAAAGCTCACTTTCACATTTTATTATGTTGTACTGAATGAGGGAGTCATTACCCCCCCCTCACACAGACACACACGGAGAGACACACACACACACACACGCACACACACACACACACACGCACACAGAAAGAGAGAGAGACACACACATGCAGAAAGAGAGAGATAGAGACACACACAGAAAGAGAGAGAGACACACACACACACACACACACACGGAGAGAGAGAGAGAGAGAGACACACACACACACACACACACACACACACACACAGAAAGAGAGAGAGAGAGACACACACAGAAAGAGAGAGAGAGAGAGACACACACAGAAAGAGAGAGAGAGAGACACACACAGAAAGAGACACACACACACACACACACACACACACACACACACACACACACACACACACACACACACACACACACACACACACACACACACACACACACACACACACACACACACACACACACACACACACACACACACACACACACACACACACACACACACACACACACACACACGGAGAGAGACACACACACACAGAAAGAGAGAGAGAGAGAGACACACACAGAAAGAGAGAGAGAGACACACACAGAAAGAGAGAGAGAGACACACACACACACACACACACACACACACACACACGGAGAGAGACATACACACACACAGAAAGAGAGAGAGAGAGACACAGAAAGAGAGAGAGACACACTCACACACACACACACACACACACGGAGAGAGACATACACACACACAAAAAGAGAGAGAGAGACACACACAGAAAGAGAGAGAGACACACACACACACACACACACACACACACACACACACGGAGAGAGACATACACACACACAGAAAGAGAGAGAGAGAGACACAGAAAGAGAGAGAGAGAGACACAGAAAGAGAGAGAGACACACTCACACACACAGAAAGAGAGAGAGAGAGACACAGAAAGAGAGAGAGACACACACAGAAAGAGAGAGAGAGACACACACAGAAAGAGAGAGAGACACACACACACACACACACACACACACACACACACACACACACGAATGAGGAGCGTCTGAGTTCATTTCCTGTGTGTGTGATCCAAACTAATTATGAGTCAATCCTCTGTTTGCTTGAACGTTATCCCTCATATATTCCTGACCTTCCAAAAGCAGGTGGAGTTTAGTCTGGATGCAGGTGGAGTTTAGTCTGGATGCAGGTGGAGTTTAGTCTGGATGCAGGTGGAGTTTAGTCTGGATGCAGGTGGAGTTTAGTCGGATGCAGGTGGAGTGTTAAGTCTGGATGCAGGTGGAGTTTAGTCTGGATGCAGGTGGAGTTCAGTCTGGATGCAGGTGGAGTTTAGTCTGGATGCAGGTGGAGTTTAGTCTGGATGCAGGTGGAGTTTAGTCTGGATGCAGGTGAGTTTAGTCTGGATGCAGGTGGAGTTTAGTCTGGATGCAGTGGAGTTTCAGTCTGGATGCAGGTGGAGTTTCAGTCTGGATGCAGGTGGAGTTTAGTCTGGATGCAGGTGGAGTTTTAGTCTGGATGCAGGTGGAGTTTAGTCTGGATGCAGGTGGAGTTTAGTCTGGATGCAGGTGGAGTTTAGTCTGGATGCAGGTTGGAGTTTAGTCTGGATGCAGGTGGAGTTTAGTCTGGATGCAGGTGGAGTTAGTCTGGAATGCAGGTGGAGTTCAGTCTGGATGCCAGGTGGAGTTTAGTCTGGATGCAGGTGGAGTTTAAGTCTGGATGCAGGTGGAGTTTAGTCTGGATGCAGGTGGAGTTTAGTCTGGATGCAGGTGGAGTTTTAGTCTGGATGCAGGTGGAGTTAGTCTGGATGCAGGTGGAGTTTTAGTCTGGATGCAGGTGGAGTTAGTCTGGATGCAGGTGGGAGTTTAGATCTGGATGCAGGGGAGTTTAGTCTGGATGCAGGTGGAGTTAGTCTGGATGCAGGTGGAGTTTAGTCTGGATGCAGGTGGAGTTTTAGTCTGGATGCAGGTGGAGTTTAGTCGTGGATGCAGGTGGAGTTTAGTCGGGATGCAGGTGGGTGTAGTCTGGATGCAGGTGGAGTTTAGTCTGGATGCAGGTGGAGTTTAGTCTGGATGCAGGTGGAGTTTAGTCTGGATGCAGGTGGAGTTTAGTCTGGATGCAGGTGGAGTTTAGTCTGGATGCAGGTGGAGTTTAGTCTGGATGCAGGTGGAGTTTAGTCTGGATGCAGGTGGAGTTTAGTCTGGATGCAGGTGGAGTTTAGTCTGGATGCAGGTGGAGTTTAGTCTGGATGCAGGTGGAGTTTAGTCTGGATGCAGGTGGAGTTTAGTCTGGATGCAGGTGGAGTTTAGTCTGGATGCAGGTGGAGTTTAGTCTGGATGCAGGTGGAGTTTAGTCTGGATGCAGGTGGAGTTTAGTCTGGATGCAGGTGGAGTTTAGTCTGGATGCAGGTGGAGTTTAGTCTGGATGCAGGTGGAGTTTAGTCTGGATGCAGGTGGAGTTTAGTCTGGATGCAGGTGGAGTTTAGTCTGGATGCAGGTGGAGTTTAGTCTGGATGCAGGTGGAGTTTAGTCTGGATGCAGGTGGAGTTTAGTCTGGATGCAGGTGGAGTTTAGTCTGGATGCAGGTGGAGTTAGTCTGGATGCAGGTGGAGTTTAGTCTGGATGCAGGTGGAGTTTAGTCTGGATGCAGGTGGAGTTTAGTCTGGATGCAGGTGGAGTTTAGTCTGGATGCAGGTGGAGTTTAGTCTGGATGCAGGTGGAGTTTAGTCTGGATGCAGGTGGAGTTTTTAGTCTGGTATGCAGGTGGAGTTTAGTCTGGATGAAGGTGGAGTTTAGTTGGATGCAGGTGGAGTTAGTCTGATGCAGTGGAGTTTTAGTCTGGATGAGGTGGAGTTTAGTCTGGATGCAGGTGGAGTTTAGTCTGGATGCAGGTGGAGTTTAGTCTGGATGCAGGTGGAGTTAGTCTGGATGCAGGTGGAGTTTAGTCTGGATGCAGGTGGAGTTAGTCTGATGCAGGTGGAGTTTAGTCTGGATGCAGGTGGAGTTTAGTCTGGATGCAGGTTGGTGGAGTTTTAGTCTGGATTGCAGGTGGAGTTTAGCTGGATGCAGGTGGAGTTTAGTTGGATGCAGGTGGAGTTTAGTCTGGATGCAGGTGGAGTTTAGTCTGGATGCATGTGGAGTTTAGTCTGGATGCAGGTGGAGTTTAGCCTGGAGGCAGGTGGAGTTTAGTCTGGATGCAGGTGGAGTTTAGTCTGGATGCAGGTGGAGTTTAGTCTGGATGCAGGTGGAGTTTAGTCTGGATGCAGGTGGAGTTTAGTCTGGATGCAGGTGGAGTTTAGTCTGGATGCAGGTGGAGTTTAGTCTGGATGCAGGAAGCACGAGTCCAGGAAATGACTTTTTATATACTCATTTGTTTTTCCAGTTGTGTTGTGTTATCTGGCAGGCAGACGGGAAACAGTCTGCAGTGAGTCCATACTCCGGGATGTAACTTTACTTTCAGATTACAGTTACATCCCTTATCCAATGAAACCATGTATAACCCAATGGATGAAAGTATGTGATAGCACTTTGTGGACATTATTGTTCTATTAATATAAAGGGAGGTCAGGAACTCTTTAAAACAGATGGTAGTTATGGGTACTTTTTACTTAAAGGTAGGGTAGGTAAGAATGGAGAAACAGCTAGAATTTGAAAATACACAACCGGAAAACATCTGCCCCGTCCTTCAGACTTCCTTACAGAGCCCCTCCTCCAACACACACGAACGCACACATGACCAATGAGGGCACGAGATAAGTTTGTGCACAGATGGAAGGCTGACAGGCAGGTAGGCCATCCAGTTATTTTAGCCGGGCCGGCTCAGATGATTGGTCGTGCTTTTTACAGCGCCACGGCTTCCACAGATGACATTTTTTTATGTATTTATTGTCAAAGCATTTAAGATATTTATTGCTATCGGGATGTTAAGAGCATTCCATGGAATATAACAACAAGTGTATCTGAAATAAATTACATACCCCACCTTTAAGTACATTTCAAAGCCCTCTTTACTTTTACTTGAGTAAAGAAGTTCAGTCAGTACTTCTACTTTCACCAGAGTATTTTTAAACACGAGTATCTGTACTTCTACTTGAGTAAAGGATGTGTGTACTTTTGCCTTCTCTGCCTCTCACCTTCTAGGAAGTCGGACGGCGTGTACACCTTGCTGGTTCTCTCTTTCTCCCCAGTGGGGGTGTTGAGGCTGTGCAGGGCCGTCTCCAGAACCTCCCCCAGCGCCTCCCTCTTGTCTCTCCTCACTGGTTTCTCCTCGGGGTGCCTGGTGAGCCCCATCTCCAGCTGGTAGACCTTCTGCAGGGTGAAGCTCTCAAACGGCAGCACGGCGTATTCGCTGGGAAGCCGGACGCCCACGCTCACCTCCGCTTTCGCCGCCTGGCTCCTCAGGAAGTCCTGCAGATCCGCCTGCTGGCTCTTTGCTCCCTGATTCTCCCCCAGAAAACCTCCCTGAGATCCAGCTCCGGCTTCCTGGCCCTCCGAGGGACCCCCGGACGCCCTCTTCAGGCTCTCCTGCACTCCCTGGGTTGTGGAGAAAAACAGGGACTGTCAGTGTTCGGAAAATATCACTCATCACCGGCTTAAGCTTCAATCTCAGGATCCATGTATCTATGATCCTCTCCAGAATGGAAGTAGTCATCACATACAGAGCATCAACTAGTTCCTGAACAGTGTCCTTCACATGCTGATATCCAAGAGAGGGAGTTACACAGTCACAAGATGGAGGAATAGAAAGCAGTATTCAATGTTTACTTCAGATTAGCTCCACGTCAGAAATGATCATGCTTGTCATATGTCTATCTCCATAGAGGCTGAATCATCATGTTAATCACATAGCTATCATATGCCTCAAACAGTCCTGATGCTCTTCTAGGTAATCATACATCCTGTCATGTTCACAGCTACAGTTGGGATACCTTTGTTATCTCGTTACTCTCAGATTGAAACATTGAGTATTTTCCCAACACTTGGTACAGGTCACAATCCCTGACTCTGTGTGTTCTGGTCTTCTTTTATAGCCTTTGTTAGAGCCAGTCTTTTGTAAAGAAGGCCAAATATTGCACCTAAATTTAAAGAATTTCCCAATTTGTTGTGTTATATAAAACAGATGGATTAGAAATGTCCGTTTAGGCTTAGGGCGTCTAAGTGTCTCGATCGAAACAAAGGAAGGAAACCACGACAGCCTTCATCTCAACTTTTATTTCTGTCCTAATTCTTTTAATATGGTGTCTGATGACATCAAGGTCACAGTGACATGTTCCTAATATCCTCTAACAGTTTATTTTGATTCAACAGTTGTTCTTGGGCACTGTGTGTGAAGGTTTAAAGGTCACCTATTATACATCAACATGTGTCCCCTCTTCTTCATGTCTCTTCTTCATCAACATGTGTCCCCTATTCTTCATGTCTCTTCTTCATCAACATGTGTCCCCTCTTCTTCATGTCTCTTCTACATCAACATGTGTCCCCTCTTCTTCATGTCTCTTCTACATCAACATGTGTCCCCTCTTCTTCATGTCTCTTCTACATCAACATGTGTCCCCTCTTCCTCATGTCTCTTCTACATCAACATGTGTCCCCTCTTCTTCATGTCTCTTCTACATCAACATGTGTCCCCTCTTCTCCATGTCTCTTCTACATCAACATGTGTCCCCTCTTCTTCATGTCTCTTCTACATCAACATGTGTCCCCTATTCTTCATGTCTCTTCTTCATCAACATGTGTCCCCTCTTCTTCATGTCTCTTCTACATCAACATGTGTCCCCTCTTCTTCATGTCTCTTCTTCATGTCTCTTCTTCATCAACATGTGTCCCCTCTGTGGAAAGAGACTCTGAAAGTTTCAGGAACAAAGATTCTCTCTCTTTTTGTCCTGATCCATTTCTATAAAAACCTGTCTGAAAATGAGCTGATCAGATTTTGGCCACTTGATGATGTCATAACGATGTTTTGTCTTGTGTAACCATTAGCCAATCACCAATCAGGGTAACCCCCCCCTTATCACCTGCATCTCCTCCTAGAGCACCATTGTGTTCTTTGTAACCAAATCTCTCTCAGAGGGGCGTGGGGAGGGGCTCCTTATTTTCATCTAAAGTAACAGACAGAGAATCAGCACTTTGGAAACAGGGCTGAAACAGAGGGGATTATGGGTAATGCTGCAATGATCTGTTTGGTGTTTCAGCCAATCAGAGACAGGCTCTGTATATATCTGAGACCTGTGATATATTGATGATAAACAGTATAATAGGGGACCTTTAAAGTACTCCACCTTCAGCTGTTGGCTGCTCTCCTGAAGCGCCTCCTTCAGCTGAGAGATCTGCTTCTTCAGGGAGGAGATGTGGAGGCGGTGCTGCTCCTCTCGCTCCTGAAGAAGCACCTGATAGGATCCTGGAGGCCCTCCGCTTTGAGCATTTCCTCCCCCTCCTCCTCTTCCCGTCCCCGGACCCAAGGAGGCGTGATTTGGTCCAGATCGAGGGAGAGCGAGGCTCAGCGGGGGGTCCACGGAGAGAGGAGGGCTGCATGTCATCACGTAAAGCAGCGAAAGTGAGCAGCAGAGCAACACCAACACGCCTCCAACACGGGAGACCCAGGAGAGGAGGCCGCGGCGCAGCATGGTAGCATGTAGCATCAAAAACACACACTGAAATATCAGGTAACGTCACACACTCCGACGATAAGAGTGTGTGTGTGAGGAGTCTGTTCCATCAGCGTGAGGTCATTTCATCCGAGTTAGGTCACTCACTGCAGATTATTTTGTCGTGAGAGAAAACACACACTTCTGTTGGTAGACTTAGCTCCATGTTGGGCTGGAAACAGAGTTACATCATCTCTCAGTCATACGTGACTCATGAGTCGTCCTCGCTGTGAAGCAGAGTGAGAGATGGAGCAGAAATGTGGAGTTTCATGGGAGAGAAAGTCCTCTGTGGAGAGCGGAGAGTTCCTCATGTTTTCCTAAGAGAGACAACAGAGAAGAGAAGTAAGTCATCAAATCATTCTTACATTATTGACCTTTATTTAAGAGTGTTTTATATAGGTTTTTGTGCATGTAAATGGTCTGATATACACCTGAACATCAGCAGGAGAGGACTCTTTAAAGTAGAGACACTACATACTGATATACACCTGAACATCAGCAGGAGAGGACTCTTTAAAGTAGAGACACTACATACTGATATACACCTGAACATCAGCAGGAGAGGACTCTTTAAAGTAGAGACACTACATACTGATATACACCTGAACATCAGCAGGAGAGGACTCTTTAAAGTAGAGACACTACATACTGATATACACCTGAACATCAGCAGGAGAGGACTCTTTAAAGTAGAGACACTACATACTGATATACACCTGAACATCAGCAGGAGAGGACTCTTTAAAGTAGAGACACTACATACTGATATACACCTGAACATCAGCAGGAGAGGACTCTTTAAAGTAGAGACACTACATACTGATATACACCTGAACATCAGCAGGAGAGGACTCTTTAAAGTAGAGACACTACATACTGATAAACACCTGAACATCAGCAGGAGAGGACTCTTTAAAGTAGAGACACTACATACTGATATACACCTGAACATCAGCAGGAGAGGACTCTTTAAAGTAGAGACACTACATACTGATATACACCTGAACATCAGCAGGAGAGGACTCTTTAAAGTAGAGACACTACATACTGATATACACCTGAACATCAGCAGGAGAGGACTCTTTAAAGTAGAGACACTACATACTGATATACACCTGAACATCAGCAGGAGAGGACTCTTTAAAGTAGAGACACTACATACTGATATACACCTGAACATCAGCAGGAGAGGACTCTTTAAAGTAGAGACACTACATACTGATATACACCTGAACATCAGCAGGAGAGGACTCTTTAAAGTAGAGACACTACATACTGATATACACCTGAACATCAGCAGGAGAGGACTCTTTAAAGTAGAGACACTACATACTGATAAACACCTGAACATCAGCAGGAGAGGACTCTTTAAAGTAGAGACACTACATACTGATATACACCTGAACATCAGCAGGAGAGGACTCTTTAAAGTAGAGACACTACATACTGATATACACCTGAACATCTGCAGGAGAGGACTCTTTAAAGTAGAGACACTACATACTGATATACACCTGAACATCAGCAGGAGAGGACTCTTTAAAGTAGAGACACTACATACTGATATACACCTGAACATCAGCAGGAGAGGACTCTTTAAAGTAGAGACACTACATACTGATATACACCTGAACATCAGCAGGAGAGGACTCTTTAAAGTAGAGACACTACATACTGATATACACCTGAACATCAGCAGGAGAGGACTCTTTAAAGTAGAGACACTACATACAATAATGAAACTGAAAATGAGCAGAACATTTTAAAAGTTGGTCATAAAAAGTCAGAAACACACCCAAAAAGGGTTTAACCGGCCTCGCCAAACTAAGCATTCGGGAAACAGAGTTGTCACTGAAGTGTGAGAAAGAGAGGCAGAGGGTGTGTGCCTGCAGATGAGAGTGTGTTATTGTGAGTGTGTGTTCAGTGGATACAGAGGAAAGTAACATTGGGTGACTTCATCGGCCATTTGCTGCATTAGGTGGTTTCAGAATTAACTGAAAAATAGTTGTTGAAGTCTGAAAGATAAATATTTGTAATAAACAACTACAAAATATATATTATTTGTATATGTTTAATACTTAATAAATATGCACAAAAAAAACCATCAATATATTAATATGTATTGCTTAAACCTTGATTTGGGAAATGAACAAAACAGTCACAGTGTTGTGTTGTGAATGTGGTTTGACGTTAGATTCCTTTTCGGAATGATTACACCAGTTTATGTATGCATGTATATATAAATATATATATATAGGTATTTGTGGGAGGTGTTGGAGTTACAGGCGGTATCTGTAAATGTCTCTCTGTGCATCAGCCTCTGCACACAGGCAGCTCTTTGACTCTGCAGCTGAATGTGGGCCTAATGAAAGGATTAGTATGTGAAGCAGTGAAAGCAGGACTGTTTTCCAACAGGAGTCTGAATCAGAAGCAGCAACTCAGGAAATAACTGAGGAGAGGGAGAGGGGGGAGAGGGGGGAGAGGGGGGGGGATGGCTGCTGTGATTCAGGGAGTTTCATCCTTTTGAAAATACAGGAAAATCCTCATGATGTCAATAGATTTAAGGTGAGGGAAAAACATGTGACATTTACATTATATTTTAATTAATTTATATCCCATAGAAGCATCTTAAAGTAGTCCTATTCTTCTCATGTTCAGGTGTATATCAGTATGTAGTGTCTCTACTTTAAAGAGTCCTCTCCTGCTGATGTTCAGGTGTATATCAGTATGTAGTGTCTCTACTTTAAAGAGTCCTCTCCTGCTGATGTTCAGGTGTATATCAGTATGTAGTGTCTCTACTTTAAAGAGTCCTCTCCTGCTGATGTTCAGGTGTATATCAGTATGTAGTGTCTCTACTTTAAAGAGTCCTCTCCTGCTGATGTTCAGGTGTATATCAGTATGTAGTGTCTCTACTTTAAAGAGTCCTCTCCTGCAGATGTTCAGGTGTATATCAGTATGTAGTGTCTCTACTTTAAAGAGTCCTCTCCTGCTGATGTTCAGGTGTATATCAGTATGTAGTGTCTCTACTTTAAAGAGTCCTCTCCTGCTGATGTTCAGGTGTTTATCAGTATGTAGTGTCTCTACTTTAAAGAGTCCTCTCCTGCTGATGTTCAGGTGTATATCAGTATGTAGTGTCTCTACTTTAAAGAGTCCTCTCCTGCTGATGTTCAGGTGTATATCAGTATGTAGTGTCTCTACTTTAAAGAGTCCTCTCCTGCTGATGTTCAGGTGTATATCAGTATGTAGTGTCTCTACTTTAAAGAGTCCTCTCCTGCTGATGTTCAGGTGTATATCAGTATGTAGTGTCTCTACTTTAAAGAGTCCTCTCCTGCTGATGTTCAAGTGTGAGTTTATAATAACTTGCAGCAGGTCAGAGGGCTTTAAAAGGTTAATCACTTTCTTCTGAAGTTATGTTTTAATGACCTTTAAATAATGACATCACTTCTCCCCGTTGACTTTCCTGCTCTATGACTTCCTGTAACAAACTGCATTTGGCACGGACAACCATAATTAAAACACGCTCTTAGGTCTGACATTATGAAGGTCTACGTGTCTTATTATCCTCAACAAACGCACCAATTTGCACTCTTTAAACTACAGTAACATGCATTAGGCAGCAGGAGGAAAATAAAGAGCTTTTTGATCATTAAAGCATGCAAACATGTCACAGAAGAGACACTAAATCCTAATATGAACCTGAAAATGATCGTTAATAAAACAGTAATACTTGTAATTGTGTCCAACCAGAAATAAGCCATTAGAGGAAATTCAGTCTTAGTCTCCTGACAGTAAACTCTTTTTCTCTCACATCATTTCCCCATCTTTAAACAGCCATGTGTGCATGGTGTTAAGAGGGTACCGTTAATCTTCTCTCTGAATATGGGACACGTTTTCCCACAGATACACACTAATTGAAGCACACACTGAGAGCCGGGGGCAGGAAGTGCTGCAGCAGGACGAGAGGAAGTGATTCTGCACCAGATGCTGCACAACTCTGTGTGGAAACATCTCCGAGCGGCGAGTTATAAATCATTCCCTCTGTCCTCTCCTCTATGACAGCCTGATTTCATCTCTCTGCTGCATCTCAGTTTCCAGCTGAGAGAGAGGGGGAAATACAGAGAGGGCAGAAGTACACACATCCTTTACTCAAGTAGAAGTACAGATACTCGTGTTTAAAAGTACTCTGGTAAAAGTAGAAGTACTGACTAAACTTCTTTACTCAAGTCAAAGTAAAGAGGGCTTTGAAATGTACTTCAGTAAAAAGTACCCATAACTAGCAGCTGTTTTAAAGAGTACCTGACCTCCCTTTATATTAATAGAACAATAATGTCATTGTTAGCTAATGAATGTTTCCATGCTGAACAACGGCAACATGACAACGTTTTCATTGGTCCCTCTTCTTTAGAGAAGACCAGGAAATGATGGATACACGGATCGTGTTCAAATCAATAGGCACGCAATGACTCTAAATAATAATGATCACGCCACCAAACACACATTCAAACTAAAGGAACCAGCCTGTTTGGGAAATGTGAGAAGTAGAAAGTACAGGTATTTGAGTTCAACATGTAAGAAGTAGAAAGTACAGGTATTTGTGTTCAACATGTAAGAAGTAGAAAGTACAGGTATTTGTGTTCAACATGTAAGAAGTAGAAAGTACAGGTATTTGTGTTCAACATGTAAGAAGTAGAAAGTACAGGTATTTGTGTTCAACATGTAAGAAGTAGAAAGTACAGGTATTTGTGTTCAACATGTAAGAACGTAAATAAGTAGTGGAGTAAAGTACTGATACCAGAAAAATGTACTTCAGTAGAGTAATAAAGTATTTGTACTCCACTACTTCCCACCTCTGGTGAAATATGTGATAAGAGGAGAAACACATTCATCATGTCCTCTCAGGAAATGCATCTGTGTTTCTCTCTGATTGTAAACAAGCCAGACAGTGTTTGTGTTACAGGAGGATGTATAAATGCAAAGAGGGTCTCAGGAAATGGAGTTCTTTTAAGATGTGCATGTTCCTCCTCCGAAGGATATGGAGGCGTTTTATCTGCTGCCATGATCTTGACCTGTAGTAATTTAAAAGTGGGGGAGGGGGGGATCGGCATCTTATCTCTTGCTGTCGGACAATAACTGCCGTGCATGTGAATATTAAAATGATTTATCTAGTCTAGTGTGAAGGTAAAGTAGCAAGAAGAGTGTGTTAGTATGTAGTGTCTCTACTTTAAAGAGTCCTCTCCTGCTGATGTGCAGGTGTATATCAGTATGTAGTGTCTCTTCTTTAAAGAGTCCTCTCCTGCTGATGTTCATGTGTATATCA